GGCTGTTCAATGCTCTTCAGGCAATTACAAGAGTTCCTATGCTTTCTGAGCACTGCTTTCTATGCGCTGGTTGCTTGACGTCAGTGTTGAAGACGCTTGAAACTTGATCAGATTTATTCAATGTCTTACAAGGCCTGAATTATTAGGCATTGTCTAACAGGTTCTTTCTCATGCAAAGCATTCAGCGTGGTTCAAATGGTAACTTTTGCTTTCAAGGACGTCTCATGGGTAGAGCACAGGTCAAAGTGTCTAAAAACGTGGTCCTTGTGGGACTTGACTGAAGACATGGGTGAAATGACGTTCAGAGGAAAGAGCCTGTTTCTCGCCCAACCTTCCTGGCCTCAGCAGCCTCTCTGGTTGCCTCCAGACTCAAAAAGGCAAAGCTGTGGAAATTAAGTTTTTGGGTGGAAGCTCAGTTCATCTCTTTCTCCAAGTGACTCCAGGATTAAAAAGATGGGTACCGAATTCCTATCAGTGAGTAATGATTATTGATTTTACTTTAAAAACAGTTCTTACTTTGTTACTTAATCATTCCAAAGCCCTAGATTTCAGTTAACACATTGCCATATGCAGGAAGCTGAATATTTAATCAAGTGATTCATATCTCTTGGTGATGGCGGCAAGAAAAGGGAGGAGGGGGGAAATGGACACCCAGAGATTTGAAAAGTGTTGTATTTTTTTTTTTAAAGACTATTAGCAATTTGCGAAAAAGAAAAAAGAATGAAAAGTCTGTAATACTGAAAAATACAGTGGCAGAGGTGCAAAATATAAGGGCTTCTATTTACATGACTCACTGGACTATTAGGAATTCAGTCATTTATTGGGCTAATGGTAGGTGTTGAAAATTCAGAGCACGTAACGTAGCACAAAAGTATGCTGGGGAATGTGGAAAGGAGTTTCAGCTTCTTTTAATTAGCTCTGTGCATTTCTAAGTCTCTGTAATGTAGCTCCTCCTTTGTCTTGAAGAGACAGCAAGGTGGCCTTGGGTTTATAAAGAAAAATAATGTGACCTTGAGAAGCTGGCGATACAAACATTGTGTACTCTGTGTCACAGTGCCATCAGCATCCTCTCCAAGAGCTTGTCGCAGCCTTTATCGTCTGCCTTTTTGTCTTAGGCTGCTGTCAGTCTGCCCGCAGGTTTAGCAGTGCTAATTGGTGCTGCCTAGAGTTATCCCCATGTGCAGACAAGTTGGTGGTAGCTCCTGCAGGAGACTTGGGGTGTTTCTCTGGTTTTCGTGATTGCTGTTGACTGTTGCCTGCTGAGCATCCTGCCCATTTCATTTGAGATTCATCAACAGCAGCCAGGGCATTTGCATTCAAAGACCATGCAGGTGCTTCAGTTCAACTATGTTTATTTGTAATTAAATATTCCATTATCAATTAACCATTAATGCTTGCTAAGGATTATTTATATTTGTGGGAGCCTTATGGTGAAAAGCTAGTAGTTAACTGCAGGTGAGCATGATGTTTTTCATTAAATGTGTAGCTCTGGCCATGTTATTTCTTATCCATCAGAACATTTCTGCTCCCGACCCATCCAGTCTGCTGCTGGGCAATTTGAGTGGGAATGAACCTTTCATCCTGCAATTGTCCATCTGCAGACTTGGTGGTGGCAGCTGGGGAAGAGGAATTGGAAGATGGGGATGCTCTTTTTCTGGGTGTGTGAGGTGACCTACCTGCTGGTTGAATCCTGTGAAACAGGAGAAGGTGCAGCTTTGGGATTAAAGTGTTCACCTTCTAGCATGTTCCCACCTTCAGCACTGAAGAAAGGGTGGTTGGTTTTTTTTTCTCCATTAGGTGCTCCACATGTGTAGGTTTACAGCTGCCATGGGGCTGGGAGGAACAATAGTGTTCGCAGATTAAATACTCCTTTTCCCTCGTATAGAGATTTCCCTCCTTGCAGATGTAGAGCCTTGAAGTTATATTTCTGCAAGCAATTAAGCTAAGCAAAAAGTAGGGCCTTTATTTTCCTGGACTAATTCTATTCTATTAACTGGAATCAATTTATAAAAACCAAACTCCAAAACCTGCGCTTCCACATGTTGTGTGGTGTCTTTTCACGTGCTTGTCCCAGTGATTTCGTTAGGATTCCTGACCCTCGGCAAAGATGCTCTGCTGCTGGGACGTTTTGATTTAGCCTGGGGTGTGTGAAAAAGGAAGCAGCTTCTTCCTCTTTGCCATCGTTGTTGGTGTGTCTTAGCTGTTCCTTCAGTGCAAAAATCTGAGTTGGGTGCCGATGACCAGCAGGACCTGGGATCTAAACTAGCTCCAAATACCGCAACCTGACGTTAACAATGAGCTGCTTAATGTCAGAAATAAAAGGGATAGGAAGATAAAAGGGAAAAAAGAGAGTCTGTTAGACTAGAGCCCTGGAGAATAGCGTCTTTTTGTGTGCTGAGAGTTTGAGCAGTGGTGTATATGGAAATGAGGACCTGATAGTGATTTCCTGGCTGATTTAGTCCTTTCAAAAAGCTGTCAATGTCTTAAGCAAATGACATATGGTGCTGATGAAAATTTCCATGCAAGAAATTCAGGGAACCATTTTCCTTCGCCCTAAATCTTCTGTATTTCTTTATAGCAGTGCAAAGTGGGTACAAAGCACTGTGGTTACGATTGATTATTTTTCTCTACTCCTGCTTTTGCCTTCAGTAATTATTTATGTTATTGTAAAGGTAGCAGGAAGTGCAATCCATTAATTTTTCTAATTGATTTTCAAAGTGTTAATTCAGTCAGCTGGTAGAATTCTAGCACTTCATGTATGCAGGTTCCTTGGAAGTTAATAGCGGACTATTCATGTACCTAAAACGAAGTGTATGTGTAAGTAGATTGCTAGTCTGCAGGCTACTGAATCCACTTCTCAAAAGGATATGCATATTAAAAAAAAAAAAAGGGACGGGGACAGGAGAGTGAAATTCTGCCTCATTCAGGCAGGTTAATTTTATTGTTCTCTGGTTCTTATATCAGGCAATTGAATTAATCGGCTCTCCACAGTTATGAAAGTAAAATTTGGCTCTGCATACCTAAAGATTATTTATGAGAAGTTTGACTATTGATTCAGAATGAATAATAAAATAGCCTTTGGGGGTAAGAGTATTAAGTTTAAACATGTTGTCATAACAACCAGCCTTAGTAACTGTCTCAGAATTGGTTTTAGGCATCCCATGTTTGATATCAGCCCAAAATATGTTTGTTTGAACTTAGTTATTTGAAAGAGGTTCAAATTAAATTGGTTCAGCTGTCTCTGAGTTATCTAAGGAGATGGCAGAATGCCATATAGAATCCATTTTTATAACACCTTGTATTTCAAAAGGGTCTGCAAAATTGAGATGAAAATAATCAATAGAGAAATGATCAGGAACAATCCTAAACCATTTTATAGTGTAAAGAATGTTTCCTGTCACGCTTCATAATTATGCAGAATTCGGCCACAAGATAACACAAGGTTTAAAGTCTGTACTGTAGGTGGCAGAGATGCATTAGTTATGCAGCATAATCATCCCTGCTATTTCATTAACAAGTAGAGCAGGATTACATTGCAGTTCATCTACCATTAATAAGTACGCTGCCAAGTACCATCCTGGCTCCCTACTGTTTGCCTTAGAAAAAGGTAAGTTCACCTTTGGAGGTGTTGGTTGAGTGAAGGACTTTTTAAAATATTTTCTGGGCTACCCGTTCTGCTGTTGAAAATGTGTAGTAATAAAATCTGAAGTATCCTTTTGAATGGAATAGATTTGCATGATCCTTTTAGCTTCATCTAAAAAAGCATAGGTATTGGAATGCCAGTAGTTTTTAAATAAGTGACAGTCTATGATTAAAAAATTAAATGGGCTTTCATTAAACAATAATAGGATTCCATAACAGCTTTTGTCATGGTAGTAGTGTTCTCCTTACCATGGTTAATGTTACCATTATATACCTCAATTCAAGAGTGCTGTGACTTAGGTAAACATTGTTCCAGACTAAAACTTGGCATGTGACAACTCAGCTAAGAATTATGATCTGGAGTTTAATAAAGCAAACAGCGTAATACTTTAAAAAAAAAAAAAAAAAAGTATAAAGTGGAATGAAGGG